AGACACCGGCACGGGCACCGGCACCGACACCGGCACGGGCACCGACACCGACACCGACACCGGCACGGGCACCGGCACAGACACAGACACAGACAGACACCGACACCGGCACCGACACAGACACCGACACGGAGAGCGAGGGAACCGAGCCTTTATTGCGCTACAGGGGCCCCGCCAGCCGGTCCAGCTGCCGAGGGTTGGAGCCGCTCAGGAACCGCAGCTCCGCCTTCCCGTCCTCCGTGTGCGCTGCGAGGGAGAGAGACAGAGATTGAGGGCTCGGGGGAGAGAGGGAAGGAGGGAGGAGGAGAGCAGGGTCCTGGGGTTTGCCCCCTCCCCGGGCACTGACCTTTCTCGTGCTGCAGCCACTTGCGCTCCAGGTAGTAGCCGTAGCAGCTCTCGAACTCCCTCGGGCTGTAGTTGGGGACCGAGATGGGCACAAAGGGGTCCAAGGCGTCAAAGCCCTCCTGGGAAGGGAGGCGAGTCGGGGTCAGTGGCGGGGCTGGGTGGGGACACGGCCCAGACGCCTTGGGAGCTCAATCAGAGCTCTGTCGTGGAGTCATGGAATATCCTGAGCTGGAAGGGACCCACGAGGATCATCCAGTCCAACTCCTGGCCCTGGAGACACCCCAACAATCCCAGCCTGTGCCTGGGAGCGGTGTCCAAACGCTCCTCGAGCTCTGGCAGACCTGGGGCTGTCACCATTCCCTGTTCAGTGCCCCAGCACCCTCTGAGGAAAGAGCTTTTACCTGATACCCAGCCCAACCCTGCCCCAGCGCCCGGCGTTCCCCTGGTCCTGTCCTGCTCACAGGGAGCAGAACCCAGAGCTGCAGATCCCTGGTCTCCTTTCAGTCTCCTCCAGCTGGACAGACCAACTGCCCTCAGATGCTCCTCATCCTCCAGACCCTGCACCACCCTCGTGTCTCTCCTTTGGACGCTCTCCAGCAGCTTCAGACCTTTATTGTGATGCCCAAACTGCTCCCAGGACTGGAGGTGAGGCTGCCCCAGCCCAGAGCAGGGACAGTCCCCTGCCTGTGCCTGGCACACCCCAGGACAGTTGGAGCCCCTGGCTGTCAGGGCACTGCTGACCCAAAGGCGTGTGTGACCCACAGAGACCCTCAACAGCGCCCCTTCAACAGAACCAGCTCACCAAACAAGATTTTTGTTTGTTTCCTGATGTGAAGAGGATAAAAAAAACCCAAAAGAGGCCGTGACTCACCTTTCCCAGCAACTCCTGGGGAGTGTAGGCTGAGCTGGGTTTGAAGAGCGAGCCAGTCTGGCTGAGGGTGGTCACGATGGCACCTCCACTCTGGAAGGCAGATCAGAAATAAAAAATCCTTTTAGCTGCAAACCCAGTTTAGGATCAACCTCTGAGGCATCTTCCTCTTGGAGGATGGAGCTGCTGGAGCAAGTCCAGAGGAGGCCACAAAGGTTGCAGGATGGAGCCCCTGTGCTCTGAACCAGGCTGGGAGAGCTGGGGGTGCTCACCTGGAGAAGGGAAGACTCCAGGGAGAGCTCAGAGCCCCTGGCAGGGCCTAAAGGGGCTCCAGGAGAGCTGGAGAGGGACTGGGGACAAGGGATGGAGGGACAGGACAAGGGGGGATGGTTTCACAGTAACAGGGCAGGGCTGGATGGGGTATTGGGAAGGAATTCCTGGCTGTGAGCTTGGGGAGGGCTGGCACAGGTGCCCAGAGCAGCTGGGGCTGCCCCTGGATCCCTGGCAGTGCCCAAGGCCAGGCTGGATGGGGCTGGGAGCACCTGGGACAGTGCAAGGTGCCCCTGCTCATGGCAGAGGTGGGACTGAGTGAGCTTTAGGATCCCATTCTGGGATCTGGATTCTTCAAAAATTCTACAAGATTAACTTTTTATAATGACCACACTAATCCTGACTGCTCCAAGTCCGTGTGAGCACAGGGAAAATACACAGCTCGTGTTCCCATTAAAACTTTCCTTACCTATAATTTGGGTTTTCTATGCAAACAAGTGAAATACTTGAAAAAGGACTTTCTTATATACCTTGAAATCTGAAGCCTACTCGTTCTAGCTCTGAGCATCCAGGGGACTGAAAAAGCAGCAGGAGGAGTTGATCTCCTACAGCAAATTGTTGAGAAACCAGTTCTCATCAGTTAAATCACAACCCAAATTGTGCCAAGGACTATCAGACACCTCCAGCTCAGGGTCCTACACCAGAGGAAGCTGTGGGGGGAATCAGGAACCAGGAAAAGCTGCCAGAGATTTGAGCTGTTCTCTTCAGGTGGTGCCACAAACACTGATGCTGTGCCTGTGCTCTCCTGCAGCAGTGCTGGGCTCATAGCTTTGGGCTCGTGGCAGCTTTAAGTGCTGGGAGTGACACAAAGGCAGAGCTGGAACTCACCCAGTCGTTCCTCAGCATCTTCCGCAGGTTGTGCACGAGCGTCAGCTCCTCTGGAGAAACCTGGTGGGGATTGTCTGCATCACTTTATTGCCAGCAGCTCCTATCTGAGACACCAATTCCCCTCCTTCCAATTAGGCTGGCAGATTGTTTGTATCCTTCAGGCACGTTTTTTTACCTTGCTTTCCTTTAGCCCTGCAGCATCGAGCCTGAGTCATGCTGCACTGAGCAACACCCAGGCCCTGCCTCTCCAACAACACCCACCTGCACTTCTGTCTCAGGGACAGACAGTAAAAATTCAGTAAAAATTGTCTAAAGCACGATATGAACCTTTCCAGCCCCTCCAAAGCCTGAACATTTTCAGGGTTTGCCACAGAACTAAAACTGAACCGAACACCCTCCCTGTTCCCCTTGCAGCAAGAATCAGGGCTGTCCCCAGGGCAGAGCTCTGGGGAATGATGAGGGGAGGAATGATGCCTTAGGATTTTAGCTTTTATATTTTTTATCTATTTGTAATCCTGCAGTTCTTTGGTGTATAACTCTAAATTCCGTATACAGTGAGCTGCTGCTTTCCCATTTTGGGCGGACACAACAATTCCTCTGCAGGCCTGGGAATCAAGGACACCTCACTGCCTCAGGAAATGGAAACAAAAGGGAGTTGGGGCAGCAAATTTGGGGTAAATGACTTCATTACCTGAAGCTGTAATTGGAAAATTAACCTCCAATATGCAAATGGATCCCTTAATTTTGTCTGATTTTAGGTAGCCTCAAGAAGGCATCATCCTCACAGGGCTCTTGTCCTCCTTCCTCAGCGTGGTCCGTCCCCAGAGCGCGTTGACGCCGTCCACGGCCACGAGGAGCCGGAAGGAGCCGCGGTGACTCTGCTGCTTGATCTCCCTCAGCACCACCCCCACGGCATCAGTGGCGCTCCTGACACGAGCCAGACCCTGTGGGGAGCACAGGACACAGAGCTCAGCCTGCATTTCTTGCTAGGGGGTGATGCTGGTGGCTGTTGGGCTGCCCTTCCTCAGGGGAAGAGGCAACCACCTCTTTGTTTCCTTTCCAAGGAGCAGTTTGAGCATCAAAACGTGAGAATTTCAAGTTCTAACTTTGTCTTTTGTCCAAATTCTCTGTACAGTTTTCTTTACAGACCCACCACATCTTCCAACAACAGCTTTTGTTGGTAGGGAGACACCTTCTATTTCCCAGGACTGACATCTCCAAGCTCTTGAGGAGCAATCTGTTCCACAAACACAGCCATGGGATCCTCTGGCACGAGGTGAGACCACACCAGCAGCACTGGCTGCTCCTTACCTGCTCCACCACTTCCCCCAAAGGTCTGCCCTCCTCTGTGCTTTCTTGTTTGCCCCACATGTATTTTTTTTGTGTTTTTATCTGTGGGAAGAAAACTATAATTAAATTTGGGGTGAAAGGAGGCAAAGCAAGGCTGGATTGCAGAATCTGGGAGGAGTATCCAGCACCAGCAGCCATCCCCACAGAGGGGATCTAAAGTGCTTTTCCTCCAGCACCTGAGGTCCAGCACAGGGCAGGGGGTGGGGTTTGCAGCCACAAACCTCTTGCAGGAAACGTTCATTGGAGGTTTTGAAGTTCTTGAGCCAGGCAGAGGCCTGCAGAGGCTGATCCAGGCGGTCTTTCTTGTAGGAAGACTGCAAAAGCTCCTTGCAGTTCTTCACCCAGAGATGAGCTGTGAACAAAATAGAACAGTTGTTTTGAATTTTATTTTATTTTTTTTTAGTCAAAATAATGGTATGAGGTGGGGGTGGTGTTTGTGTTGCTTGTCCTCTTTCTGCAACTCTGGTAAGGAAAGTCAGAGAATCATGGAATGGTTTGGGCTGGGTTAAAGATCATCCAGCCCCTGCCAGGGCAGAGACACTTTCCATGATCCCACGTTGCTTCAAGCCCCATCCAACCTGGCCTGGAACACATCCAGGGATGGAGCAGCCACAGCTGCCCTGGGCACCCTGTGTCAGGGCCTGCCCACCCTCACAGGGAGGAATTTCTTCTCTACATGCCATCTTACCCTGCCCTCTGGCAGTGGGAGGCCATTCCCCCAGTCCCTTCACTCCCTTGTAAATAGTCCCTCTCCATTTTTCTTGTAGCCCCATTAGGTCCTGGAAGGCCACAATTAGGTAAACCCAGAGCCTTTTCTTCTCCAGGCTGAACAATCCCAATTGTCCCAGTCTTTCCTCACAGCAGAGCTGCTCCCCTGATCACTCTGACCATCCTGGATCATTTCAACAGGCCCATGTCCTTCCTGTGCTGGGACACCAGAGGTGGATGCAGCTCCATCCTGACTGGAGAACTCTTCCCTCGGGATCAGAGGAGGGCACACAGACCCCAAACAATGGAGAAAACCAGACTGACCCAAAGCACGTGTGAGCAGGTGAAAATAAAGTTATCCTCTACTTTATTTGGGGGCTTTGTGTTTTATGGGCCTTCTCCACTAAGGGAAAACAAGGATAGACTGTGGTGGGCTATCCCCCAGCTCCAGAAGCAGCTGCTTGTGGTGTTTGGTGTGGTAACAGAGCCCTGGTTTTCTCACCATCCGGGATGTGCAGCACCAGCCAGCCCTGCCTCGAGCAGTAGTGAAGCACGTGGCACAGGGTCATGGTCTTCCCTGTTCCCCTCTCACCATCTCCAGCAAGGACTGTCAAGGAAAGTCTCTGAAAAAAACACTTCAGTTTGTATTTGACTGTGATTCTTCCAGAAAGGTCATACAGGGAGCTCAGAGCTCATCAAAACCTGCAGAGATGCTTCTCCTTGTGCCCACCCCACGGAGCAGAGCTGAGGAGCCCCATGCCCTGACCCTGTGTGTGGGTGTGTGCCATCAGCTGGAATAAAGGAATAAGGGAATAAGGGAATAAAGGAATAAGGGAATAAGGGAATAAAGGAATAAGGGAATAAAGGAATAAGGGAATAAAGGAATAAGGGAATAAGGGAATAAAGGAATAAGGGAATAAAGGAATAAAGGAATAAAGGAATAAAGGAATAAAGGAATAAGGGAATAAAGGAATAAAGGAATAAAGGAATAAAGGAATAAAGGAATAAAGGAATAAGGGAATAAGGGAATAAGGGAATAAGGGAATAAAGGGAATAAGGGAATAAAGGAATAGGGGAATAAGGGAATAAAGGAATAAGGGAATAAGGGAATAAGGGAATAAGGGAATAAAGGAATAAGGGAATAAAGGAATAAGGGAATAAAGGAATAAGGGAATAAGGGAATAAGGGAATAAGGGAATAAGGGAATAAAGGAATAGAGGAATAAGGGAATAAGGGAATAAGGGAATAAAGGAATAAGGGAATAAAGGAATAAGGGAATAAGGGAATAAAGGAAAAAGGAAATAAAGGAATAAGGGAATAAAGGAATAAGGGAATAAGGGAATAAAGGAATAAGGAAATAAAGGTATCTGAGCTTCCTGAAGCACCCCGAGTCCCTGCACTGACCACAGACCACGTGGCACCACCACCTCCTGGAGACTGCACCAGCTCAGGGACACAAAAACCCTCTCACTGCACAAACTGCTTGTGTTTCTCTTCATCCCACCCCCAAGTTAAAGGATACAGATCACATATCTGACAGCAGGGTGGGCGAAGTTGGAGCCCCTCAGGTAAGCCAGGAGCTCGAGCGCCGGTTTCCGCACCATCACACGCGCCTCGTTGAAGGTCTGGATCTGAGGAAGGAGCAGATGGCACCAAGATGCCACGAGCTGACCCAGCACAGCTGCCCCCAGCCCTGCTCCATCCCTGCCTGGAGGCTCCCAACACCCCCAGCTCTGCCCAGCAGCACCCACAGGGTTGGTCAAGCGCTGAAAGGAAAGGACCTTCTTGTCCTTCCTGTGCCCAGAAAGTGTTTTCTGGGTCAGCTCTTCCACCCTGTTCCCACAGACTGGGGTGTGGCTGACCAGGCTGGCCATGAATCCAACTCAGTGACCTGGATATGCACAGGTAAGGAAAGTGTTCCTGACTCAGGCAGGCAGCTGCTCACAGAGCACAGCCCAGCACAGCTCCACCACACAAATCAGGAGACAAGATTGTTTTGTTGCAGATATAAACTGATTTTTCATGGGACAGCCTGTTTCACACAGAAATACAGCCATGGAAAATATTTCTGTAGTTCATTAAGTGCTTGGATGTTAGAGATGGAAAACACTGGAAGGAAGGTTGCCATCAGACTTTTCTGCTGCTGCTCTGGGTTTCAACATCTCTTAGATGTTGAAAACAACAGTGAGGGCCAGGAATAACTGCACTCTTGCTCCCCCTCATTCCAACAGGAAAACATCACAGTCACCAATGGATCTGGTTCTTCCCACACTGTCATGAAATGGTTTGGGTTGGATGGGACCTTGAAGATCATCACATCCCACCCCTGCCATGGCAGGGACACCTTCCACTATCCCAGGCTGTTCCCAACCCCATCCAGCCTGGCCTTGGGCATTGCCAGGGATCCAGGGGCAGCCCCAGCTGCTCTGGGCACCCTGAGTGCATCCCCCCCAAGGTGGAATACCTGCTGCTGGAAGCGATGGGGCAGCCCGTGGGGGAACACAGCCTTCACCTCCTCCAGGGGGATGTTGTACAGACGAGCCTCGTGCTGCTCCGTGTGCTTGGCCTGGAAGGGAAAATGGGAATTGTCACTCTGGTGATGCCTCTTTCCTGGAAGCCTGGGAGGGTGGGACAGAGGCAGAGCTCAGTCACAGACAATACTCTCTCACTGGGAGGCAGAGCAAGACAGAGCAGGAGTTGTGGGGTCAGGACAGTGCTGGCAGCTGCTTTGGAAGAGGCTAAAGAGAGGAGATCCCACCTGGCACTAAATAATGAAGGGATTCCCTGAGCTCGTGTACGAACTGTGGTGTTTTGGGGGCACCAGTGGCCCTGTGCTCCATGAATTCACCTTTCACCAGTCCCCCCAAACCTTAACAGAGCTGTGACACCCTTTTGAGTTACCTGCTGGTGTCACATTCACTTTCTGTTGTGACAAAACGTTGTTTTCTGCCTTGGGCTGCTCCCTCCCAGGAGTAATTCCCATGGTCCCATCTGGTTACTGGGGCTGGAGGCTTAAAATCTCAAAAAATCTCTTTTCTGGGGCAATAATTTCCAGTCCTTTGTGTTGACCTCAGTGATCAGGGCTATTCCTCCACTGGACTTGAATCCTGCTGCATTTATTTCTACAGGTCTCACCATAATGACAGCAAGGAGCTGTTGTCACTGGGATCTGAGAATTGAATGCCTGCTTTTTTCCCTCATTATTCTCTTTTCCTGCCATGCAATACCTGCAAAGCACTTACTTATTTCTTCTTGCCCAAGTTGTCCATTTTTGTGTCTTGTCTAATTAGGACAGTAAATAGAGACTACTCTGCAGCCCTTCCTGTGTGACTTTGAGCAGTTTTGTGCTAATCTTTGAAGCTTAGATCTCATCCTGCTCTGCATTTTACCATGGATTTAAAGTAAAAACATCCTCCTGTTTATTCTGGTTATATATAAAAACTGGCATGCACAACAACAAATATAACAATTTCCTTGTTTTATGTGCAGGTGTGACTTCTGCTTGTTTGGCCAGGAATATTTGGCTTTTCCCAGTTCTTGATGGACTCTTCATGGACCCCTGCTGCTGTTGCATATCCATGAATTTTCTGGCTCCAGGGTGTCCTGGACTCCGTGCTCCACCTTGGCACAGCTGCAGGATTTGAGGAACTCCTGATTCAAGGGATGATTTCTAATTTGGTAACTTCAGCAAAGGCCTGAGCTGCTGGAGCTGCCAAATTTGGGTTCAGTGGTCAGGAAATCTTTGTAAAAGGGGGGAAAATGTTAAATCCTGGCTGTTCAAAAGGTGTCCTGCAGAAAGGAGGTGTCTCCTTGGAGGAGAACTGTGAAGTGACACTTCAGGATTATTTCAAACTGTGCATTCCCTGGAATTCTGCACATGCTGCACACAGACCAACAGCACCTGTGGTTTCCCACGGCTCAAACACAAGAGCAGGACTCCAGAGCCCATTTCCATTCTCAGCTTCACCCCTGGCTTGCTGCATGATTTTGGGCAAATTCCTCCACTCTCCTGCATCACGTGGGTCAGTGTCTTTATCCCCAGGGAGCTTTGCTAACAGAAAGGTACACAAACTCTGATGAAAAATGTTGTGTTTAGTGGCTTTCTTAGCCCCATTTAAATGGGATTATCTGGTGCAGGAGCTGGGGAGCAGCAGGATTTGCTGCTGGAGTGACCCAGCCAGCCCAGGGATGGCTGAAGGCGGCCGAAGCCGTGCCAAAGCTCAGGCACAAGTCAGAATGCCAGAGCCAGTTGCTTGGCAACAAAAAGGCAGGAACAGGACAGTGGGGACAATGTGGCCATCTGGCCTGTGCTGTGCAATCCATGGAGACACCGGGTCACGTGCAGCCGATCATCTCCCGCTGCCGTTTCCATAGAGACCCCGGAGGAATCGGCACCCAGAGACTCCAATTACACAGGCAGCAGAAAAGCCACCTCAAAGGCTCCTTCCATTCATTTATTCCCCTTCATTTTGTGCTCGAGACAGAGAGTGAGGCTGGAATTGTGATGCTGCAGAGCCGTGCTGAGGTCATCTGGGGTGTGGTTTTCATCCCCTTCACAGCCAGCTCAGGGAGGCTCTTCCAGGGAAGAATAACCCTGGAGTTGAGATGAATGGTGTCTGATGACAGGCTGAGCCACGTCCCAGCGTCTCCAACACATCTCCATCTGTGCAGCTCTGGAGAAGGGATCAAAACCTGTTCCCAGAGCAGCCCCATCCTCAGCAGGTGCCCTGCAGAGCCAGGGTCGGATCCCTGGGTTAGGTCTGAGCACCCCCTTTCCCTGGCTCCCAGGATGGTCCCTGGTGGCACCCAGGACACCCCTCCCTGGTGACCAGGACACAGGGACAGCACTGGCAGCCACTCACCGGGTCGCTCTCGCTGGTGTGGAAAACTGCTCGGGGTCTCTCTGCTGGGACATCCTGGCTGGACACGGAGCTCAGCCCATCCCTGGCTGCCGTGTGGAGGGCACAGCCACGGTCCAGCTGAGGGGAGAACAAGGCAAAGACACAAGAAAGCTCTCAGCAGCCAAGGATTGTTGGTGAAAAACAACCCAGGGAGTCTGTTCTGAGCGCTTGTGGCACGTGTAACCCAGAGCTGAACTCTGATTGCAATTAGAATGAAAACTCCTCATTAGCATGGAAATTCATCACATAAACCCACATGCTGCAGAACCAGATTTCACATTTAGATACCTGCACAGAAACCATCCCCACCTGAAGCCACCTCAGTGAGCCAAGCCCTGCACCTTGAGTTTTACCCCACAAAATCCCTTAAGATCCCACACCCAGCCATTAAGGCCTCACTGCTGGGAAGTGCCCACCGTGTTTCTGCCTACACTGAGGAGTGGCAGCACCCTGAAAATCCAGGCTGTCT